CTTCCGCTGCTTTCCAGGCCATAAGCAGAGAGCTGGATTGGAAGAGGAGCAGCCAGGACATGAACCAGCACCGTATAGGATGCTGGCACCACCAGCAGAGACTTAACCCTACTACACCACAGTGCCAGCTCCTAGGTTATTATTTTTTAAAAACATTTATGTATTTATTTTAAATGCAGAGAGAGAGAGAGAGATCTTCCATCAGCTGCTTCACTGGGTCTCTCAGGTGGGTGGCAAGGGCCAAGTACTTGGGTCAACTTCCACTGCTTTCCCGGGTGCATCAGCAGGAACTTGGATTGGAACAGGACTGGAACTGGTGCTAGTAGCAGCTTAACCCACTGTGCCACAACACCAGTTCTGGGTTTGTTGTGTTTTTGTTTGGAGTTCCAGTTGTGGCCCTGGTGCATCTGTGTCCCAGTGCCTAAGTGGTCGGTTTGACCATCCAGTTCTCCAGAGCCCCGTCTCCCTTAAAGAAGGCAAGGGCGCCATCTGCTGGCCAAGCACCTGAGCCTGGAGCACACTTAGCCAGGGAGTGTCCCTTTCTTCACCAAATTAATTTCTCAAAAAATCCTTTTATCTTTTTTTTGGCTTGATTTGTACTGGTTTTATTTATTTTTGTTTTTATTTTTTTAAAAAATTTATTTTACTACTTGAAAGGCAGGGTAACAGAGAAAGGGAGAGAGAGAGAAAGAGAGAGATCTTCCCATATGCTGGTTCACTCCCCCAGTGGCCTCAGTGGCCAGGGGCTGAGCCAGACCAAAGCCAGGAGCTTCATTCAGGTCTCCCAGGTGAGTGCAGGGGCCCAAGCACTGAGCCATCCTCTGATGCCTTCCTAGGTGCATCAGCAGGGAGCTGGATTGGATGTGCAGTAGCTGAGACTCGAACCAGTGCCCGTATGGGATGTGAGTCTTGTAAGCTGACCCTGTTTTTTGTTTTTCTGACTTTTTTTGGTCTTTTTTTGTGTTCACCAGATTCTTTATCAGGGCTTTGAGCTCCTCGGTGGGGGACTATGGATGTCCCAGGGCCGCTTTGCTGTGGCCTCTCCCTTGCACAGGGTCTCCAGGGCTCTGCTGAGAGCACTGGGGAGGAGCTCCCTGGGCCAGGTGGGCAGTGTTCATGCCAGGGCCAGAAGCAGCAGATTCTACACTTTGTGATGACAGGGACCGTGTTCTGCTACCCAGAACTGTGACTGGCACCTAATAGCCACTCAACAAATATTCGTAGAACAGCACTGAGCCTGTGGCGCTTGTGGTTCCTGTTGCCAGATTTGGGACTGTGTGGTGATGTGATTCCTTCAAACCTTGGCCCTGGGGCTGGAGGAGGTGTGGCAGGGAGGCAGCTGTTTAGCACAGTAGTTCAGACGCCTGGATCTCACATCACATGGCCCCGGTTCGAATCCTGGATCAGCTTCCTATCCAGCTTCCTGCTAATGTGCATCCTGGGAGGCAGCACGTGGCGGCCCAAGTATTTGGGTCTCTGCTTCCCCTATGGGAGACCCAGGCTGAGTTCAGGGCTCCTGATTTTGGCCTGGCTTATTCCTCTTGTGGGCGTTTCAGGAGCAAACCAGCAGGTGGGAGCTCTCTTTTCCTTGTCTTTGTGTCTCTGTCTCTCTGTTGCTGTGCCTCTTAAATAAATAAAATGAAAAGCAACCACCTTGGCTGGCTGTCCATTTCCTCTTGGTTGACCCTACTAATAACCCTTGTCTGCGGATCTGCGGATCTGCGTCCGCTGCAGGGAAGCACCCAGGCTGCTCTGACAGATACTCTCCAGCAGTGGGCGCTCCTGTGGCTGAGCCGCTGTCACTTCCGTCCAGTGGAGGCGCGATGGTGGTCCTGGCTTAGCATGTCGCCAGTTTGCTGGCTTCTCTTAAACACCTCTAATCCAATAGCTGGAGAACCACCATTTCCAAAATAGAAACTTAGCTGTGCGGGAAGCAGCAGGGACCATGGCTCCAGGGCCAGTCACACTGTGTTCAGGTATAATTTCACTCTCTGGTTCAGACGGACGGGACTGGCTCCTGCCGCTTTTTCTGACAGCTTGCTGGAGCTGGCTCTCTGCAAGCACAATGCACTTGAGTCACCTGCGAGCTCCAGCTGTGGAGGCGCAGGGTCGGAGCTTCGAGTGATGACAGGGGCTGCCGCGCAGGAACTGGTCCTCACAGCCTCTGCCCTGCTCTTCTGCTGAGTCCAGCCTTAGGCGTCTGTCGCTGGCAGAGGCTCCCTCCCATTGCTGACTTTGGGGATAGGACTATTGATTCAAAGGATCTGAACTCAGTTCTATGGAGCCCGAGTTGTGGCTCAGTGGGTGAAGCCACTGCTTGCAATGGCAGCATCCCCTATCCAATACAGGTTCCAATTCTGGCAACTCCACTTCCGATCCAGCTCCCTGCTAATGTGCCTGGGAAGGTAGCGGAAGGTGGCCTGAGTGCTTGGGTCCCTCCCACCCACATGGGAGATCCAGATAGAGTTCCTGGCTCAGCCCTGCTTGTTGCAACCACTTGGGGAGTGAACCGGCAGATGGAAGATTCTCTCTCTCTCCCTCTCCCCCCCGCCCCATGATCTGCCTTTCAAATATATCAATCAATAAATCTAAAAATAAAAACCTCAATTCTTGCAAGTTAAGCAAGATTTACTGACAGGACATTTGAATGTCTCACGGACCTCGGACAGGGACGCAGCCGGCGCCAGGGCTTCAGCGGCCATCAGGAGGGCTCCCTCTTGCTCTCCACAGGCGTGCCTGCTTGCTTTTCTAGAGTTTTCTCTGCCAGCAGGTCCATGTGTTACATGCCATGTGTTACATGCCATGGGTCCGATCACCACGCCGGTGTCCACTCTGCTCCCATATCACGTCTGGTCCATCAAGACATCCTGTTGAGGGGTAGGCGTTGTGGTGCAGCTGGTTAAGCCGCCTCTTCCGGCACCCACATCCCATAATAGAGGGCCTGGGTTCAAGTCCCACACCCGGGCGCCAGCAGTGATGGCTCAGGCTCTTGCCTGCGACCGTGTGGTTGATCTTTCTGCTTCCATCCTTGGCCCTCTGCTCTCTTCTCAACACACAGCCGAGATCCAGAGCAGTCACTGCTCTGCTCTCAAGTCTCTAGTTGCTGGGGGCAGGTATTTGGAACAGTGGTTAAGACACGGCTCGAAAGCCGGCGCCGTGGCTCAATAGGCTAATCCTCCACCTTGCGGCGCCGGCACACCGGGTTCTAGTCCCGGTTGGGGCGCCGGATTCTGTCCCGGTTGCCCCTCTTCCAGGCCAGCTCTCTGCTATGGCCAGGGAGTGCAGTGGAGGATGGCCCAGGTGCTTGGGCCCTGCACCCCATGGGAGACCAGGAAAAGCACCTGGATCCTGGCTCCTGCCATCGGATCAGCGCGGTGCGCCGGCTGCAGCGGCGGCCATTGGAGGGTGAACCAACGGCAAAGGAAGACCTTTCTCTCTCTGTCTCTCTCTCTCACTGTCCACTCTGCCTGTCAAAAAAAAAAAAAAAAAGACACGGCTTGAGGGGCAGGCGCTGTGGTGCAGTGGATTAAAGCCCTGGCCTGCAGTGCCAGCGTCCCATATGAGCGCCAGTGCCAGTCCCGCCTGCTCCTCTTCTGATCCAGCTCCCTGCTGTGGCCTGGAAAAGCAGTGGAAGATGGCCCAGGTGCCTGGGCCCCTGCACCTGTGTGGGAGATTCTGAAGCTCCCAGCTTGGTCTGACCCAGCTATGGCTATTGCGGCCATTTGGGGAGTGAACCAGCAATTAGAAAATTTCTCCATCCCCCCCCCCATTCTTTCAAACAAATAACATAAATCCTTAAAAAAAAAAAAAAAACAAAGCAACCAAAAGCACCACCCGGGTCGCTTGCAACCCATTCCGGAGTGCCCGGTTCAAATCTCAGCTCCTCTGTTTCAGATTCAGCTTCCTGCTAACACATACTCTGGAAGGTCGGGCCCCTGCCACACACACACACACACACACACACACACACACACACACGGCCTGGATGGAGTTCCAGGCTCCTGGCTTCAGCCTAGCCCGGCCCTGGCTGTTGTGGGTATTTGAGGAGTGAACCAGCAGTTTAGAGCACTCTCTCTCTCTGTCTCTCTGCCTTTCAAATAAAATCAAAACATATTGATTAATTAAAAACAAAACCCACATACTACAAGTACTTAAAAAAAAAACACACCTTTCTCCAGTTCCTCCTCCTTTCACACTGAATAGGAGCCACAGGCCTCAGGGCCTTTCTCATGTCTGGTGCTGCCTGCCTTCCTGGCTGCAGCCCTGGGCTCAGCTTGCCCTCGGGGTCTTTGCACCTGCTCTGCCCTCACTGCCTCTGGGTCCTCCAGGCCCGGCTCTAGAGTCCTGCCCCTACGAGCCCGCATGGACAGTCCCATCCCCCTTCCCTGCTGAAGTTTTTCTACGCGTAAAGGATTTACTCATTCCCCTCTGTCTCCTCCTCTTGAATTGGAATCCCCCAAGATCTAAGCCTTCAGTCTGCATGTCCCAGACCTGGTGGAACAGTGTCTGGCAGGCAGTACTTTGTTCTTGACCGGAAACACACCTCCAAGAGAAAAACTGGTCTCATCTGCCCTCCACCCCGCCCCCCCTTAAAAAACAAAAAATACTTGGAGACAACAAAGCACGGCAGGCAGCCTCCGGCACGTGGAGAGGGGGCGCCCTCATGCGGCTTGCAGGGGTCCCGCTGCGCGGGGCGGCCTCGGAGAGAGCGGGAGAGCTGGGTCATCCCTGTTGTCTCTGAGCGCGCACTCTAGCAGGAAGCTGGGGTCAGGCACTGGAGCTGGGTGTTGAATCCAGGCACAGGGCTGTGGGATGCAGGGGGCTTGGCCGCTTAGGCCGATCGCCCGCTCAGTCCCTCCTTTTTGCTGCCTCATCGCTGACAGCATAGGCTGGAGAGTTCTGATCTGAATCTCCCAGTTCAAAAGGCCTAGGAGGGAATGAACAGTAAGCAGGCAGGGCACCTGTGCGGTTCTTCAGAGCACGAGTGGGTATTGTTTTAGGCCACTTACAGAGGAGGAAGCTGCGGCCCGCGGAGGCGGTGGCTTGTGCGCCGCAGTGAGGACCGCCTGTGCCCACTCAGCCCCAGGAGGCACCCCCGCTTCAGCCGGTGTGGACGGCAGCTGCACCATGTCCACCCAGGACCTAAGGTAAGCGCTGGCTGTGCAGCCCCGGGGGCAGAGTGGCTGTGTACGAGCCGTGGCTCAGCTTCCAGGTTCCTGCAGCACGAGTGAATCCAGGGAGGGACAGGTCTGTGCAGTATGCACCTACAGCCCATGTGTGCACACGCACACACACACACACACAGGCACACACGCTCGCCTTCCATGGGACTGAGGTCCTGGAACCGGCCATCCTGACCCTGCTGTTCCCACGGGCGGGGGGCTCCGTGTCGCTGTCTGTGGCCGGCCTCCCTCCCTCACGCCCCTGTCTCCTCCCCTTGGCCCCAGCATCGTGGCCAAACTCATCAATGGAGGCGTGGCAGGGCTGGTGGGCGTGACCTGCGTGTTCCCCATCGACTTGGCCAAGACACGCCTGCAGAACCAGCTTGGCAAAGCTTCGTACAAGGGAATGTAGGTGGCGGCGGGCACCCCTGGGCCGGGCGTGGGCATATGGGGGGAGGGTTCGGCTGGGTGTGCTCAGCAGACACGCGCAGCCCCCGTTCACTCCCGGGCTTTTCCTGCTCTGCTTCTAGGATCGACTGCCTGGTGAAGACAGCGCGGGCCGAGGGCTTCTTGGGCATGTACCGAGGTGGGCTTTGCGGGCATCGCGGGGACCTCAGAGGGGGCCCGGGGTGTGGTGAGGGGCCCCAGACCTTGCGCGAGCTTATAGGACACCAGGCAGCAGTGTTCCTTCTGCCCAGGCAGTGGCTGCAGAGGGGCCTGGGAGACCAGCGTGCCCTGCCTCCACCTCCCATGAAACTTGTGCACGCAAAAGAGGAAAACATGGGGGAGAGACGAAATGGAAAGAAAACTCAGTTCCTGCTGGCCCCGCTCCCTGCGTGCTGGCCGGGCGCCACCAGGCAGGCAGGGCCGGGGTTGTCACTTCTGGGATGGCCTTCACCTCTCGGCTTGGTGTTTCACTTCCAGGGGCCGCGGTCAACCTAACCTTGGTCACCCCCGAGAAGGCCATCAAGCTGGCAGCCAATGACTTCTTGCGGCAGCTGCTCATGGAAGATGGGTATGACCGCGTGGGGCAAGGGACAGAGGCCATCCCCTGGAAGTTCAGCGATGTGGGGTTGGGGGTGGGTATTGGACTAAGAATATGTTTACCTGACTGCCTGAGCTACAAGGGAGTCTTCAAAAAGCTTGTGGAAAATGTGAAATTTACAATTATGAAAATTTTGAATTATGCATGAACTTTAAAATGTTTTTGTACCCAAATAATTTTTATTTTTATTTTTAAATGTGTTCATTTATTTATTTGAAAGACAGAGGAATGGGGGGGGGAATGCAGAGAGAGAGCTTACATTGCTCTTGCTCACTCCCCAAATGGCCCCAACAACCAGATCTGGGCCAGTCCAAAGCCAGGAACCAGGCACTCCATCCTGGTCTCCCATGTGTGTGACAGGGGCCCAAGTATTTGGGCCATCTTCCTCTGTTTTCCCAGGTGTGTTAGCAGGAAGCCAGACTGGAAATGGAGCCACACATTCTGATATGGGATGCAGGTGTCTCAAGATATGTGTGTGTGTGTATAACATTTATTTATTTGAAAAGCAGAGCAACAGAGGGAGAGAGAGATGTTCCATTGCTGCTTCACTCTCCAAATGGCCATAACAGCCAGGTCTGAGCCAGGCTAAAACCAGGAGCCAAGAACTCCATCTGGGCCTCCCAAGTGGTGGCACAGGGGCCCAAACACTTGGGCTGTCTTCTGCCTTCCCAGGGGCATTAGTAGGGAGCTAATTCAGAAGTGGATCAGCCAGAGATCCTCACTGGAATTTCAATATGGGATGCAGGCGTCACAAGTGGCAGCTTAATCCACTGCACCACAATGCCAGCCCCCAAATGATCTTTTAAAAAGATAGGGAGAGGGGCTGGCGCTGTGGCATTGTAGACTAAGCCTCTGCCCGTGGACCAGCATCCCATATGGGCACTGGTTCATGTCCTAGATGCTTCTCTTCTGATCCAGCTGCCTGCTCTGGCCTCAGAAAGCAGGAGAAGATGGCCCAAGTCCTTGGGCCCCTGCACCTGCATGGGAGACCCGGAAGAAGCTCCTGGCTCCTGGCTTCAGATTGGCCCAGCTCTGGCCATTGCGGCCATCTGGGGAATGAATCAGTGAATGGAAGATATTTCTCTCTCTCTCTCTTTCTCTGCCTTTCAAATAAATAAATAAATCTTAAAAAAAAAAAGAAAAGAAAAGAAAGAAAAGACAAGACAGTAAGATAAAAAGAGGTCTCATCTGTTAGTTCACTGCTCAGCTGCTCACAACAGCTGGGACTAGAACCAGAGCTGGGAGCTGAGAATGCAACCCAGGTCTCCCAGGTGGGTGGCAGGAGCCCAATCACTTGAGCCATCTCCACTGTGTCTCTGCATCAGCTGGAGTCAGGAGCCAGAGCCAGGACTCGAATCTGGAGACTCTGATGTGGGCTGTGGCCGTCTTCATTGGTGTTTCAACCGCGAGGCTAAACATTTGCTCCAAACTTGGCTTTTTTTTTTTTAAGATTTATTTATTTATTTATTTGAATGGCACAGACAAAGGGAGAGAGAGAGAGAGAGAGAGCGCATGAGAGAGTGCACTTCTATTAGCTGGTTCACTCCCCAGATGATTGCAATGACTGCGGCTGGGCCAGGCCAAAGCCGGGAGCCTAGAATTTCATCTCCCACGTGGGTGCAGGGCCTCAAGCCCTCGGGTCATCTTGTGCTGCTTTCCCAGGTGCATTAACAGGGAGCTGGATTGGAAGTGGGAGCAGCCGGGACTTGATCCAGCGCCCATATGGGATGCTGCCATTGCAGGTGGTCGCTTAACCCTCTGTGTCACAGCACAGGCCCCCAAACTTGTCTTTCCATTCTGTTTTCCATGAAGCCCCTCATAAATCCAACTACTTATGGCTGAGGGTTGGTGTGTGAAGGGGGAGAATGTGCAGGTATGATTTGGGAAAGAGAGAGACAGACAAGTAATAGATAGAACATACAGAATGTATACAGATATATTCACCATGGCACATGTTTAAAACTCGGGTCCAAATGCTTCCCAGTTCTCTGCCTGCCTCCCGTCTCCCAAGTGATGCTGCCTAAAGGGCCAATGAGAATCAGGTATCGCCATGGGGCGTGCCCTTGTGAGATGCCTTCAACCTCTACACATGCCACGGCCCTGCAGCCTTTGTTGTACATACAGTCTCCCGTCTAAGGGGTGGGCCCAAGGGCCGGGTGACTGTCTACCCTGCTGGGCGAGTGGCAGCCAAGGGTGAGAGGGCACACCACAAGTACGCCACGTCCCACTGCGTGTGGCTGGGGTGGCAGGCCCGAGACTGAAGGGCTCCGACTCCCGCTCCCGTAGGATGCAGCGGAACCTGAAGATGGAGATGCTGGCCGGGTGTGGAGCTGGCGTGTGCCAGGTGGTGGTTACGTGTCCCATGGAGATGCTCAAGATTCAGCTGCAGGACGCAGGGCGCGTGGGTGAGACCTGTCCCGGCTTGACGTGGGCTGAGCCTAGAGCCCCCACGGCCCACTCTGACCTGCGGGACCCCGTGGACCCAACCAGCTGTTGAGGCTAATGGCAGCATAATTACGGTGACCCCTTCAGAGTTCTCTAAGTAGCAGGACGAGAATCTGGGCCCAGGAGGGGCAGACGTCTCAGGCCCAATCCTCCTAACAAATCGCCCTGACAGGCAGGTGCGAGCTCCTTCAGACCGCAGGCGTCCGTGACCTGCTCACTAACTAGTCAGCAGGTACTTTACGCTGTAGAAGTCTTTCTTTTCTGCTGGTTTTCCCTGGAAGAGAAGTTAGGGCCTTTCCCACACCCTGGTCCTCTCTGAAATACCCGGGGCGAAGCGGTGGGAGCAGAGCTGGCCAACGAGCGGGAGGAAACTCTGGTTTCCTCATAGGGAAGGCCTGAGGCCTGTCCTCAGGGCTGAACCCCTGATCCCGAGTCGGGTGAGCTGAGCCGTAAAGCCCCTAGCCAGCACCGGCGAGGAGCTGGCTCTGGTGAACGCGGGGACCCTCCCTCCTGCAGCTTGGCTGTGCACATGGGCCGTGCTAGAACTCAGCCCAGTTTCTCAAAAGGATGCACCGGCCTGAAGCAGACCACATGGCAGGAGGAAAAAGGGTTAGGTGCTGAAAAGTCCCCGGTGTGCTTCCCTCTTCAGAGGGTGGAAGCCCTGTGAGCGTTAGCTTTTCAAACCCGGCGTGAAGTGCGCCTGAGAGGACGGTGAGGGAAATCACGTTCCTGGGAGTAAACCTCGCTGGAGTCCCTCGCCGAGGCCTGCACCCAGGTTACTCCTGTAGGAAAACAGGTGTGGCACCTGCTTCCGAGCCTGAAGCACGCACTGCACTGCCAGACGCCTCACAAAACTGGGGGTGCGACTCTGGCCAGCATTTCCTTTTAGCAAGAACTGAAAAAGTTTTTTAGAATCCATCCAATTTCAGGGCAGTGAGTAGAACTCATGTTTCAAGCACTTTTTAATTAAAACGCTCACGGAAAAAAAACCATTCCATTCTAATTTGTAGATATTGAACTCAGGACATGGGCCCTGAAGCAGTCGACCCAAACAGATTGACTTGTAAAGCATCCCATTCCCCAGGCCGGTGAAGGCTCTGAGCGGCCCCCTTTGCCTACTCTTGGGGTCCTGGGGGAGGTGATCCCCGGATGGACAGAGCAGTTCCAGTCAAGTTCTGCCTGCGTGGCATCGACGCGGGCTCCTCTGCGGCCAGGTGCTGAGGGGGTGCAGCCGTCTGGAGAGGCTCAGGGGTGGTTCAGAAACAACAGGGCAAAAGCAGTCTTAACAGGAGAAGGAATCGGGGGTGTGCTAAGCCTCCTGTAATGAAACCTGAGGAGGCAACAGCTGCACATGCATCAGCACGCCAGGGGCTGTGGATGTCCCTGCAGCCCACAATTCATGTTCTAAGGCTAGGGTGTCTTCAGGGTTCACCGTGCCTGTTGGGGTCTGGTGGTGATGGGGGTCTGTCCTTTCCTTTCAGACGTGCCTCAGCAGGGTTCAGCCTCCAGGCCCTCCTCCTCCAGGTCCTACACCACAGGCTCGGCGTCCAGCCACAAGCGCCCGTTGGCCACACTCATCGCATGGGAGCTGCTTTGCACTCAGGGCCTGGCTGGTCTGTACAAGGGCCTGGGCGCCACTCTCCTCAGGTGAGCCTTTCTCCTTGACCTTGAGGGGGCCAGGGGGCTTGTTGCCTGGTCTCTCGTGTGCTACCAGGACACCCAAGTGCAGGCTTGCATGCCCTCCCCAAGCTTCCGGCTTTGCCCAGACCTGGCCAGGGATGCACACAGTGGGTACCTGAGGGCTGGGTTTAGGCTCCCTCCTCAGTGACCAGGCCCACGTGAGTCACGGGTATCTGGTGGCCCAGAGCCAGCCCGAAGGACTGCATGCAGTTCACCCCGCAGTGAGAGGTCTGACCCCGCAGCTCACCGGGCTACTTAGCTGCTTTCCCTTCCATTCGCCTGCCCGTTCTCCTTTGCAGAGTGTGGTACCCAGGCTTCAGATCTGCAGCTAGCACCTCGTGCAGGTGCTGGGCGGGACAGGGAGGCAGCTCCCCTCACAGTACCCTTCACCCCACATCAGCACAGGGGCACTGTGGCGTGCTTACCTCTGCCCCCCAGCAGGCCCTGGTTCAGTTTCCTCTTCCTCTTCTTCAGAGATGTCCCTTTCTCCATCATCTACTTCCCACTGTTTGCCAACCTCAACAGCCTTGGGTTCAGTGAGCTCGCCGGGAAGGCGTCCTTCGCCCACTCCTTTGTGTCAGGCTGTGTGGCAGGTTCCATAGCGGCCGTGGCAGTCACCCCTCTGGACGGTGAGTATGTGGCAGAAGCAGGGATCAGGCGTCTGGGGTCCAAGGGCTGGCTGGATTTACCCATTGGGCATTTATGATGGACTTATCTATGGGATCAATAGCACTTTTGCAGTTTTAGGAGAGAAATAGTCCCAACCCTGAAAACTCTCTTGGGTTGCAACCTGGGGCCATTGGCAGAAATGCACCCTAGGTCTTCAGAGAGAAAGTAGGGCTCAGAGACCTTCCCCTGTGTCCTAGCACTGACCACTGCCCTGGCCTTCCAGGCGGAGCTGGGAGCCTCAGCAGTGAGAAGGGACAGGGCTCCCCCGCCACACAGGTGCTTTTACAGGGTAACCTGAGGGTAGGGTAGCTTCCGAGTCCCTCATTTTCCACATGGGCCGAAGAGCGAGCTCTTGGTTACAGCCCACACAGCTGCGTCGGGGAGGGACCGCGCGACCACTTGTTCACTTATTTGAACTCTCGCTTGTCTTAGTTCTCAAAACGCGAATCCAAACCCTCAAGAAAGGCCAGGGTGAGGACGTCTACAGCGGACTCACCGACTGCGCCAGGTGAGAGCCCAGCACCCTTGCGCCCTGGGTGGGGGCCAGGCTCTGAGCATGCGTCCGCGCTTCCGCACCACCACCCAGCGTGATTGGCAGGTTCCAGTCTCAGAACCCTGTCGGTTCCCTCATGGCTCACGGCAAACAGCCCGTGCTGGCGCGTTTCCCCATCCCTCCCGTCCGACAACAGCATCTCTTCCCCAGTGCGGAGCCCCTGGTCCCTGGCCTTGCCCCAGCTGCCCAGTAACCACACACACGCAGCACGCAGCCGCCAGGGTGCCACTCCCGCATGCTTGGGGCCTGGCCTTCAAATGCTGAGTGGAGGGCGCTGCTGGGTGCTTCCCGCCCGTCAGCTCCCCAGGCCCTCCCTGCTTTCCCCCTAGGAAGCTGTGGATCCAGGAGGGGCCGCCTGCCTTCCTGAAGGGAGCAGGCTGCCGGGCGCTGGTCATCGCACCGCTCTTCGGGATCGCCCAAGGCGTGTACTTCATGGGAATCGGAGAGCGCATCTCGAAGTGCTTCGAGTAAACAGAGATGAGCTCGGGCCCTCCCCTCGCTGCATCCCTGCAGCCTGTTTCACCCAGACTAGAGGCAGTGAGGCTGCAGCAAGGTGGCCCACGCACGTTATACTTTGCCCGCTAACTCGTAGCCCTGCCTTGGCCTCGGAAGACAACTCGCCAGCAAGCCCAGGGCGGCCAGAGCTGCCCTGGGTGATGCCTGCATGGCAGGGACGCTGAGAAACCCCTGCCCACCCGGTTTCAACACAGCAATGGCACTTGCTCCGGCTGTATTAGCTGCAGGATCTTAACCCACAGTAGGGCTGAGCACTTTAACCTTTCCGTGAGAGACTCCAGCTCGACTTGCTTGAGTAAGTTTGAGGCTTTGGTTTTTGTTATCTTGAACTACATAACTGACAGTCCTAGCACTGGCTCTGGGGAAGGGACAAGTTCAAGGGGACCAGGAAGAGCCAGCAGGGACCCTTCAGGTCAGGGTGCCTGGGGTCGACCCTAACTGGAGAGCCTGGGAAAGGCCGGGCAGCTGAAGCCAAGGGGCACGGTCACAGTCTGTAACCCTGTGCCCGGCGGACGGGCTGCTGGCCACCCTCCAGTCCACGGCCAGTCAGAACCAAGGCTGCATTAGGAAGAAGCCGCAGCAGGTCACTGTCACCCACTCTCCAAACGTGCCCAGGAGGCCGGAGGGAAGAGCATAGAGCTGCACTCGGGCACTGGGTTTGGTGTCTGTCACCCTGTGCACTGTCACCCTGAGGAACCCAGTGCTCCACCTGTGCCTCAGTTCCTTCCCCATGTGACTGCCACAGAGGAGAGCAATGACGTCACACAGGAACATCTCCCTTTCCCGGAAGCTGGTGCTGACTTTAGTCCCCACTGCATTTAAACCCTGGGCTAATGAGAAAGAGCTTGGTGCAGAGTGGGCGGCCCCGTGGCCCCAGCTGCAGGCTCTGGGATGGACGCAGCCCTGCTCCAGCCCTGCCCCCTGCTCCCTGGCAAGACCTTGGCAGCTCTTAACTGTCAGCCGGGAAAAACCAGCTCCTGGGGAGTGGGAGGTCGAGAAGGGCCCCTGGGAAGGATTTCAAGGACAAAGTACCCCACCCCCAAAAAACAGCTTAACTTGCTTTTCTCTTGCTACCAGAACTAATAAAAACAATTTTCCCAGTGTAGTTGTATGACTCTTCCAGAGCATGTTATTGTGCCCGTGCCGGGGGAGCCGTGGTGACTTAAGGGACTGGAAAGGCCACTTCTGGGTGACTGTCTGGTGAAATAGCAGGGAGCCCCAGAGGACCCTGATGGGGACAACGGTTTCCGGAACTGACAGCTGCGAATCGCCAAATGCTGAGGGATCTGGAACATTCCTTTTCTATGTCTTTCAGGAGGAACTTGAGTCTCTCAAACCACATGTTTAGTGCCTTACAAAAGAACTTACAATGAAATCCACATCAGCTTTTGCTTTAATAAATACAGGGGTACTCACGGCTTGGATTTTAAACCACAGTAGCAGAGATGAGGATGGAACAGGCCACAGTGAGTGAAGCCACTGTTTCTAGAAGGATGCATTGCCCACATGCGCTTTAGACGCAAAGAGCAGGGACTTCCACGGCAGAGCACAACACGCGTCACCACCTGGGAGTGCGGAGAAAGGGAAGAACAGGAGGCCCGTGCAGTCCACAGCCGCCTCCCGCCCTCCCTCTGTGCTGCAGAAGCAACAGAAGCTGCAGCCTCCCCACGAGCCAGAGGTAGTTCCTGATCATGTCCAGCGAGTCTCGAACAGTAACACTCAGGCCAAGGGCACAGCGACAGAACGGAGAACACTGATGAACAGAGAACCATATTAAAGCGGCAAAGAGGGAGCTAGTAGATATTCTTGCTTCTTCAAACATCCCCAACTCCACATCATAGCAGCGGACCGCGGAGGGGCTCCACCTCCCAGAGGCTTAGTCCAAAGCTTTCTATTGGTATTAGCACCAAACACAGCGCCCCGTACTTCTGGCATCCCCTGTGAAGACACAATGCAATAAGTAAGTGTAGGGAACTTAGAACTCAGGCAGAGCTGTGCGTCCCACCCGCAGCAGGGAGCCACCCACCTCTGCGTGGCCAAGGAGGAGTGCATAAAGCTAAGTGCACCCAATCCATGCTGTGCTGATCTGCACTCCAACAGTCCTTGGTGAGAAACTTAACTGGGGATCTGGGGCTTAAGGCTGCCTGCTTGGGGCTGGTGCTGGGGCACAGTAGGCTAAGCTTCCACCTGTGGCATCGGCATCCCTTATGGGCGCTGGTTTGAGTCCCAGCTGCTCCTCTTCCAGTCCAGCTCTCTGATGTGACCTGGGAAATCAGTGGAAGATGGCCCAAGTCCTTGGGCCTCTGCACCCATGTGGGAGACCCAGAAGGAGCTCCTGACTCCTGGTTTTTGGCATGGCTCAGCTCCGGGTGTTGTGGCTATTTGGGGACAGTGGGTGGAAGACCTTTCTCTCTGTCTCTCCTTCTCTCTGTCTGGAACTCTACCTCTCAAATAAATAGATTAAAATCTTAAAAAAAAAAAAAAAGTCTGGGTGAAGCACTTGTTCCTGCAGCTGATGAATTCTTAGGCAAACTTCTATTTATTTTTTATTTTTTTGACAGGCAGAGTGGACAGTGAGAGAGAGAGAGACAAAGAGAAAGGTCTTCCTTTTTCCGTTGGTTCACCCTCCAATGGCCGCTGCAGCCGGCATGCTGCAGTTGGCACACTGCGCTGATCCGAAGCCAGGAGCCAGGTGCTTCTCCTGGTCTCCCATGTGGGTGCAGGGCCCAAGCACTTGGGCCATCTTCCTCTGCACTCCTGGGCCACAGCAGAGAGCTGGACAGGAAGAGGAGCAACCAGGACAGAATCTGGCGCTCTGACCGGGACTAGAACCTGGGGTGCTGGTGCTGCAGGCGGAGGATTAGCCTGTTGAGCCGCGGTGCCGGCCAGGCAAACTTCTAAAGCTGTGGTGTCCAATGTGTTAGCTATCATCCACCTGTGGTTGTTGTGCACTTAAAATGTGGCTAGTGAGAGGGAGACACTGAATTTTAAACTTTACTTAAGGATGCCCATGTGGCTAGTAGCTGCTGAATTGAACAACAATGCTCTACAGTTTAAGTTACCAAGGTGATACTCAAGGTCAAGTGCGTCAGCTATTAAGTACTTGCAGAACCAGTAAGCTGAACTTGAAGTGTCAGCAAGTGACTGAGTTAGCAGCCATAGAAGATCACCACCTGTTTTCCAGGCTGTTTCCAACAACACATTTGTACAAATCTGGAAACATCTGAAGGGCCAGTGGCCTTGTAATGATTCTTCTAAACAAGTGTTTACATTAGTTCCTATCTTTCCAGTCTGCAGCTCTGCATGCAAGAAAACGTACATGTTAGCAGGCAGCCCGAGGCCTCCCACCTGCAAGTGGCTATCAGCACCGTACAGTGCCCCGACATGCTTAATCTCATTCTTCTTAGGAAAATGTCAAAAAGTGTGAGTGAGAAATCCCAAAACAGTGACTAGGTCTGTGTTCTGTGTAGCACTTCAAAGGGACAAGTGGCAGCCCCACTCACCTGTAGGGCTGTGAGGTCTGGCCGGCTTTCTAGGGTGTTGGAAACTTTTGTGATCCGTGTTATAGATCTCAACTCTACCAGCTCTACAAAGAAACCAGGAACAGCAATTTCTAGATTTAAGGAAGACAGATACACACAATATGTTGACTGTATTCCCTTGGAGGAAGTCATTTTGGTGTGTGGCTTATGAAACAAAATGGCATAAAATTTAATTCCAAAAGATTGTGAAGATTTCAGATATTCAGGTCTATAATACCAAGTGACCGCTGTGTGCGGTTTGCTTTTTTTTAAAGAATTATTTTAGGTGCCGGCGCTGTGGCGCAGTGGGTTAAAGCCGTGGCCTGAAGCACCGGCATCCCATATGGGCGCCGGTTCTAGTCCCGGCTGCTCCACTTCTGATCCAGCTCTCTGTTGTGGCCTGGGAAAGCAGTGGAAGATGGCCCAGGTCCTTGGGTTCCTGCACCAGCATGGGAGACCCGGAGGAAGCTCCTGGCTCCTGGCTTCGGATCGGTGTAGCTCCAGCCGTTGTGACCAGTTGGGGAGTGAACCATTGGCTGGAGGACCTCTCTCTCTCTCTGCCTCTCCTTTCTCTGTGTAACTCAAATAAATAAATTAATTAAAAAAGAATTATTTTATATGAGAAGCTGAGTTGCAGAGAGAGAAGAATAGAGAGAGACAGAGACACAGGGAGAGAGGGAGAGGGAGAAGGAGAGGGAGAGGGGGTGAGAGAGAGAGAGAGAGAGAGAGAATCTTCCATTTGCTGGTTCATGCCCCCAAATTGTCACAATAGCCAGGGCTGGGCCAGGCTGAAACCAGGAGCCTGGTGCTTCTTCCAGGTCTCCCATTTGGGTACAGGGACCCAAGGACTTGGGCCACCTTCCACTGCTTTCCCAGACCATTAGCAGGGAGCTGGATTGGAAGTGGAGCACATGAACCAGTGCTCATATGGGATGCCAGTGTTCCAGGCGGCAGCTCTACCTGCTGCACAATGCCAGCACCTGCTGTGTGCACTTTGATTTGATGCACCTAGTTTACTTCTCCCAGTCAGCCTTCTCCAGCAAAATAAAAAGGGGAGGATTTCACCTCAGTTTGCAAGTAGACAGAAGGGATCTACTGATGAGACGGAGTCCTCATGGGAATTTTTTTTCTTGCATATTTATTTCAAAGGCAGAGACAGTGGGAGACCTTTCATCCACTGGTTCACTTCCCAGATGGTGGCAACCACTAGGGCTGGGCCAGGCTGAAGCCAGGAGCCAAGGACTCCATCTAGGTCTCTGACATGCATGCGGGGACCCAGACACTTGAGCCATCTGCTGCCTTCCCAGGTGCATTGGCAGGGAGCTGGATTGGAAGCAGAGGAACCAGTGCTCTGATATGGGGCGCTGGTGTCACAGGCAGTGGCTTAACCCCCTGTGCCACAACCCCAGCCCCAAGTGAGATGTTTTTTTCAAGCCTCAGCTCTGCTAATTACTAAACAGTAATGACACATAATGTTCATAATTGCGTGTTTATCAGATAAAGACAGCACTGCTACCTTCAGGCAAATTAACCTTCCATGTCCCACCTCCAGCCACACCACTGCTGTCATTTCTTTCCTCAGTGTTTCTCGGCATGTAGAAGCGTAAGGTAAACATGTCAAATTCTATCACACGGAAGTTCAGGAATTAAGATTCGTTTGCTATATAATATTATCAAATACTCCTGGCAGGGCCCTGATTTGTAGCGCGGAGGCTGAAGTCAGCATCTGTGATGTCAGCATCGAATGTGGGCGCTGGTTCAGGTCCCGGTTCCTCCACCTCCAGTCCAGCTCTCCGCTCATGGCGCGGGGAAAGCAGCAGCAGATGTCTGGACCCTGCCACCTACGTGGGAGACCTGGAAGAAGCTCCTGGCTCCTGGTTTTCCCACTAAAACTGACTTTCTTGTAACAAACAAGCAAACAAACAAACAAAAATCCGTGAAATAGGCCATCAAAGACTGGGAAAGTTTTGTGAATTTTCTTTGGGAAAGAACCTTTATTTCACTCTCTGCTTCTTGCCCATTTCTTTGTGTGGGGAGCAACTCGGACTAGACTAAGTTACTGGAATTAAGACTTATTCTATGCATCTGCTCTCCCACAATATGGCGCTGAGAAGGGAGAAGCAGCTTCTACACAGCTGCCTCCAGTTCAACCAATAAACTGTAGGACCTGCTCCTGATTGGAGGAGAGCAGCGTACTCGGCGTGTGGGTAGCAGAGTTGGGATTGGCGGAAGAGGACTATAAAGGAGGAGAGAGACAACATGCACCAGGAACATCTAAGGGGAACATCTATCTGAAGGAACACCTGTGCAGCCCCCGAGAGAGCCGGCCGGCGGTGTGCCGCTCCCCTGCGGAAGTGGGGAAAGTGGCCAGGGGGAACTGCCCTTCCACGGAGGTGGAAGGGACGGCAGCCAACCCGGGAAGAACCAGCAGCAAACCCGAGGAGGGCCGAGCAGACAAAAGAACAGCGCAGGGTCCTGTGTCGTTCCTCCATGAAGAGGGGGAGCGACACTTTGTTTCATTTATTTTTGGATTTCTACCTGACCCCCTGTCTGGGACACAGCTCTCTGTCCATGTTTTGGGAACAAGGGAAGGGAGACCACCATCAAGTGAGGCTCCCTAGACATGAAGCCCAAGGCTCCCCGGGCCTTTATTTAATCTCCCCAACAACTTCTCACCATCTTGTGAACACGAGAAAAGCGACTGCACAGAGGCAGCCATTAGGCCTGGTGGTTAGGAC